TTCATTCAATGAACAGCACAGTATCAGGTTATTTCTTGAGTTGCCCAGTAGACAGTAAAACCTCCCAAGAACACAGAATGCAACATAAGAAACTCCCGTCTTGCTCTGAATTCCACTAGTTGAAAAAGAAGTAGTTGTGAAGTAGAAAAGGAATGGAATCTTGGGGAAACCAGTTACTTCACAAGAGTCAGGGAGCTCAGCCTTAATCCTGGACATTAAAAAGGCAAACATCATGGGGCTGGCGCTGTGGCGCAGCAGGGTAACTCCCTGTCCTGAAGCGCCGGCATCCCATGTGGGCGCTGGTTTGAGTCCCGGCTGCTCCTCTTCTGATCCAGCTCTCTGCTGGGAAAGCAGTGGAAGATGGCCCAAGCCCTTGGGCTCCTGCACCCACGTGGGAGACCTGGAAGAAGCTCCTGGCTCCTGGCTTCAGATCGGCACAGCTCCGGCTATTACGGCCAATTGGGAAGTGAACCATTGAATGGAAGTCTCTCTCTCTCTCTCTCTGCCTCTCCTCTCTCTCTGTGTAACTCTGACTTTCAAATACATAAATAAATCTTTTAAAAAAAGGCAAACATCAGAGGAAATTTAGACTGAAGCGTTTGAAGAGATGGTGGTTCAAGAAGACTGGAAATTTCACAAAAGCAAAATTGTGATGATGTAGCCACAGTTAGAAGGCATGACTAAATCAGACAAGTCAGAGAGAATGAGCGTGTTGGCATATGCTTTAGTCTTTCATCAGTACTCAGAGTTGGAGCTGGACAGTGATATGGGACTGAAGTTAAGAGATGGATTTCCATGAGACAAGCACCAAACAAGATTATAATAGGTTCCCTGTCTTTGCCTTCTACACAAGTGGGACCAGTTTGTGGAAGGAGCAAAGGAAATTCTACATTGTGGCTGAGTCTGATGAAAATAAAAAAAGCTAAATAATTATTATAATAGCATTTGTACAGATCCATATGTGCTAGATATTATTGGAAATATTTTCCGTGCATTTAATATTTACAACAAGCAAAAGTATTATCAGTGTCCATATTTTATCCTCATCTGAGGGTAGAAAGTTAATTAGCTTGTCTTGTAGAAGGATATCAATGATTGCAGGGTTTACCTGTTTGCTACCTTCACTAATGACTGATTCTCTTTGTACGACATTCATGAATCAGGAAATCCTGTTGGAAGAAATTCCTGTTACTGCGTCATACAAACCCTGCTTTACTCACAGGAAGACATATCCTGTTAGAAGAGAGACTCTGCATCCCAGGTTTGTTTCCATTATTGGATCGCTTGACTTTGATGACAAGCTTTTATGCTGCAATTGTTATGGAACATCGGAGCAGTTCAGATTAGGCTGGGCCCTGGTCTGGAGCAGGAAGGAGTGGAATTTCATAAGCCCCGCTCTAGGACCCTAGGCAGGATGCCTGCCACCACAGAGGCAGTCAGATCAAGGATTAAGCCAGGACTTTGATGCAGGCAGGGTGGGTTTCATATGGGAGTGACTGTCAGTGACCTAACTCCACTGTTAGGCACTGACTTGTGTCCCCTCCAATTCACAGATTGAAGCCCCAACTTTCCTGTGTCACTGTATTTGAAGACAGGGTTTTTAAGGAGGGGATTATTGTGAAATGAGGCCATTAAGATGGGGCCCTAATCTGGTAGGACTGGCGTTCTCATTGGAAGAGAAAGAGACATCCAAGATGTGTATACAGTAAAGAGGCCTTATTGAAGGCACAGCAACAGGTGGCCCTACAAGCCAGGAAGAGAAGCCTCCCTAGAAATTAACCTTGCCTGCTCCTGGATCTTGGAGTCCCAGAATTCATAACCATGGGAACTAAATTTCTGTTATGAAAGCCATCCAGCCAGTGGTATTCTGACAGGGTAGCCCTAGCCAACTAACACAAGCTGTCCCCTATTCATGTTAGTTGACTTAGCATCTAACAAATTTGTAACATTAGAATGCATATTCAGTAGAAATTAAGACTTTAGATTTTGAATTTCCAGGCTAGTGACATATGGTATGATACTCTTCCAGTGCTGGGAGTGGCACTGAGTGCAGCTCTCAGTTACACGGAAGTCACAAGGGGAAACACACATTGGCTTCTGTCACCTAGGCTAGCATGCTAGGTAGGTGAGGTGTGCAAACTAACACTTGATAACATTTCGGGCAAATATGGACTTATGATAGATTCATTGGGACATAGCCCCCTCATAAGTTGAACAGTATTTGTACACCTGCTGAGCCTGTTTGCTTCTGAGGTGGGGACTGTAGTGACAACAGTACCTGGATGTAGCCCCCACCCCAAGAGAAAAGAAGCCATATAATATGCTCAGCATGTTGCCAGGCACAATATCAGAGCCTGATGACTTCAGTTCTCATTGTTGTTTCCAATGAAGATTGGTTTTCTCTCCAGGACACAAGTCATGACAATTCCACACATCGACCTCCCATCCCCTGCTCCTCACTTAGCAGGTATGAGGTTGAAATGAGACCTGTGTTGCTTATACTTGCTTATACTTTTCCTGACCACTGAAGAGTGGATATCTACCTGGGAAATGACATGTCAAGAAAGGCTTGATGAAATGATTTTTGAAGTCTCAGATGTTATCTTTTTTTTTTTTTTTTTTGACAGGCAGAGTGGACAGTGAGAGAGAGAGAGAGACAGAGAGACAGAGAGAAAGGTCTTCCTTTACCGTTAGTTCACCCTCCAATGGCTGCCGCAGCTGGCGCACTGTGGCAGGCGCACTGCGCTGATCCGAAGCCAGGAGCCAGGTGCTTCTGGTCTCCCATGTGGGTGCAGGGCCCAAGGACTTGGGCCATCCTCCACTGCACTCCCAGGCTACAGCAGAGAGCTGGACTGGAAGAGGAGCAGCCGGGACAGAATCTGGCACCCCAACTGGGACTAGAACCCAGTGTGCCAGTGCCACAGGCGGAGGATTAGCCTAGTGAGCCGCGGCGCTGGCTCAGATGTTATCTTAAGAACAGGTATAGATCTTGCACTCTATAATATAGTCACATTTGCTTTCATTCATGAGATGTCTGCAGTTATTATGGTAGAAAACTGAGGATCTAGACAGGTAACTTGGTCCTGTTCAAGATAGCCTGAAATGTTCAGGAAACCAGAGCCAAAGTAAGACATGGATGGGAATTCCAACCACTCCTTTGCAAACCACAAAGCACCACTCAGATGTAAAGATCCAGAAGTATTTGATTTTTAAAAAGTCACATCATTGCGAATTCACCCACTGCTAGCAAGCTCTTACTGTGTGCCAGGCACTGTGTCAGCAGAGCCATCACTTCTGGGCAGGGGCAGAGGCCACTAAACAGGTTGTCAGATGACTCACTCTATGGAGTTGTGACAAGAGCTATGGAAGAGAAGGAAAGCAGGCTAGGAAAGTCTGTAGGAGGGCAGAGCTCTGGAAGGTTCTGAGTACCAAGAGGTTTCCCTGGAGGTCTGGTTCCCTGGGGGAGTGCTATGCAGACAAGCTTCTGAAGAGGCATTGGTCCCCAGGCATTTAAAGCAAAGTGAATTACTGTCACTCTGTTCATTTTCCACAAGTCTGGTAGGCCTAGGGAGGTGCGTTCCTACAGGGAGGGGTCTGACAATGGTCGGGGGACCATGCTCTTTGCCTTAGATAGAGGAAGTGAGAGGTGGGCACAGGAGCTGTGTCTCTTCTCTGTCTTCCCTCATTTGTGAGTGTGCTCACTTTTTGCACACTTGCTCAGAAGTCAGCAAGCAGGTGAGAATGCTTTATAAACCACAGCCTGTTCCCAAAGAACCAAACGGAAGGCCCTCCACTTCCTGCTGCCCTTCCAGGGCCCCACAGGAGGGGGTATATACTGCATTTTGTGTTAGGGAGGGGTGGCTGGGGAGGCTGAACCGGAAGCTGGGGTACCCCGTGGCCCTCTGAGCTTCTGCCGGGGGTTTTGGGGAAATGACCCCCCACCTGCTCCTGTACTCATCCTGGCCCCAGTGCCTTCTACTCCCTATCATCCTCCTGGTCACTCCCCTCCAACTCCCCTCTCCACCCCAGGAACCTCAACACAAACAGGCAGATGGAAGAGGCTGCAAAGTTGTTTGGGGAGGGTGAGGAATTTTCCAACATTCACAGCAGCTTATTGTTGACACTGCACTTGCCAGTTCACCAAGTGCCTTCACACCTGTGATCTCTTCACACCTGCAGGCTCTTTGGATACTGGAGGGTGAGGAATCCGGCATTTCCATTCTTAGCCTTGGATACTGCTCCATGCCCCCATGCCCGTGCAGGCCACATCTTTACACACACACACACACACACACACACACACACACACACACACACTGCGGCTGTCTCCTGCAGCTCTCTGTGCTTCTATCAAACCCAGTTGCCCTAAGTCTCACTATTTGTTTGAAAATTCTGCCAAATATGCTCATCCATGAAAAACAGAGCAGCAAGAGGCCTGGGAGACATCTAGTTCAACTGTGGCACTAGTCCAGAAAGAAGGGACTGGGTCAGGGCCACAAGGCCTGTCGCGAACAGAGCCAGACCCCAGACACACAGGGGCACGCACTCACAGGTCAGACTGCTCGAGAGCCCTTCCTTCCCCAAACCCTTGGGCTTCCCCGGCGCGCACAGTGGCTGCACTAGGAAAGGGGTCTGGGGACCGCAACCTGCAAACTTCATTTCATTCTTCCCCAGCGGCATGGGAGGGAGGAGCACACCGCCTCCAGAATTCTGGGGATCTTTTATGAAGTTACGAATCCCTGTGTAGGAAAGCTTCAGTTTCACACACAGGAGCGACTCAGCCCCAGGACAAGGAGGGACAGACAGGCTCCGGGTTGGGCAGGCAGCAGGAGGCACCTGTAAACCCGGCACCATGCCCCTCCGCCCGCTTATCTTCTCCCTCCCCTCCGGGCACCTCTTTCCCTCTTCTCCGGCCTTGGGTCGCCCTCCCCCACGGGTCGCCCTCCCCCACCCTGTGCCGCAACAAGTGCGAGCGCCGAGCACCATGTAGCTCCTCTTACCCCGGCTTCGGTCCATGGCGTCGCCCCGGCGTCGACCCGGCCCCCCGGGGCACGCAGAGCAGGGCACAGTGGCTCCGGAGCGGCTGGTGGAGGCGGGAGCGCTTCGCTCCCAGGCCGGCTGTGGTCCCCTCCCCCAGACAGGATGCTCGCAGAGCGCCCCCGCCCCGCCCGCGCCCGCCCCTCGGCTTTGCTCCCGGAATAGACCCGAGCACGCCTCGCCCCTGGGCCGCCGGCCGGTGTCCCGTGTCCCGCACACGCCCGCGCCACGCCCTGCCCTCCGCGGGGATGGAGCACCCGCTGTCTGCCCCCGTGTGGAGTCAGCTTTGCCTGCGCTCCTGTGGCTCGTGCGGAGTTTACGACCTCACCTCCTAGGCCGTCGCCCCTCGGATGGCCAAGGCTGTTAGACCGCCTTTCTCTCCTGCCCGGTTCCCGGTGGCTGCTACGCCTTTCTTTAGGTTACCCTCCCAACTCGGCAGATCTTTTCTGAGCCCTTTCTGGGGGCAGTCCGTGGGCCCGGAGCTACACTGGGGCTGCGTCAATGAGGGTGTCAAAGAGTAGAGAAATAATAATAATAACAGATCTTCAAAAAGAAGAGCTTTTCTAGAAATTGGAGAAATAGGTGGGCAATAGCCCATTTTCAGCCTTTGAAGTTCTACGTGCAACTGAAATGTGAAGAAATGTCAACACGGAGTGAGACATTGTGGAAATGAACACATTTAGGACGCAAAGCAGAGTGTACTATAACTGTGCTCTTACCAAGATACTTACAGGATATATAGAAAATAGTGTGGCCCAGGAATAGATTTGAAATTTAAAATGTAAGAGAAATGTCTGCTTCTTCATTCTATCATTGTGATCACTGTGGAAATAGGCACAACTCATTTATAGACAACATCCTGTGTCTGAATTTAAGACCCTTCACAGGGGCCGGCACTGTGTTGAGCACTGGGTTTAGCTGCTGCTTGTGGACTCTAGCATCCCACACTGGAGTTCAGACCCAGCTCCCTGCCAATGTGCCTGGGAAAACAGCAGCAGATGGCACAAGTACATAGGCCAATGCCATCCATGTTGGAGATGCTGATGGAGTCTGGGCTTCTGCCTGGACCAGACCTGGCTGTTGCAGCCGTTTGGGGAGTGAACCTGCAGATGAAAGATCTCAGTCTCCTCCCATGCCCTCAGGCTCCCCATCTGTCACTCTGCCTTTCAAATGATAAAATAAATCTTTAAGAAAAAAGATCCCATATGGGCACCAGTTCTAGTCCTGGTTGCTCCTCTTCGGATCCAGAGCTCTGCACTGGGCCCCTGCACCTGGATGGGAGACCCAAAATAGGCTCCTGGCTCCTGGCTTCGGATCAGCGCAGCTCTGGCTGTTTCAGCCAATTGGGGAGTGAACCATTGGATAGAAGACCTCTCTCTCTCTCTCTGCCTCTCCTCTCTCTGTGTAACTCTGATTTTCAAATAAATAAATAAAAAAATATTTTAAAAAAAAAGAACACTGGTGTTGGGAGCACCTTGTGCAAAGACACTAAGGTAAGAGAGGGCCTGGAGTTGAGCATCCTATATACTCCTGACCTGGGAACATTTTCTCTGTTGCTTTTTTGGGCAAATTGAAAGGAACCTTGTCTTTGCAAAACGGTGTCAGTAGTTTGTTTACTATATGTGTTGGTACTGGGAGGGAAAAAGCTTAGCGAAAAAACAATGGATTTGAGTCTAAAAACAAAGCTCTTACTGCACAGTAAGTGTAAAACCTCCATTCTGCCAGCCTTGTTTGTTCATTTGTGTTTCAGGAGACTTCTTCTTATTGATAACATTCATCTTCCTGGAAATACAGTAGTGCACAAGACCAATTTTTGACAGGCAGAGTGGACAGTGAGAGAGAGAGACAGAGAGAAAGGTCTCCCTTTGCCGTTGGTTCACCCTCCAATGGCCGCCGCGGCCGGCGCACTGCAGCCGGCACACTGTGCTGATCTGAAGCCAGGAGCCAGGTGTTTCTCCTGGTCTCCCATGCGGGTGCAGGGCCGAAGGCTTACAGATGGCACAGGGCTGTTGGGAGGGCAAATGAAATGATGATGCAAGCCCACTTTAGAAACCCTAAGGAGCTCTACAAATGTGAGCCTTTATTATTTTCCAAGTTCCTCTCTGTTCCTGCCCACTTTTCCAATTTGAAAAGGTCAGTTTAAATTGTATAGCGGCCGACTAACAATTTACAAGTGGGCCAAGTCCCAAAAGGTTGTACTATGAAACACTTTTGAAATCAGGTTGAGAACTGTGGTTAGGTTCCCAGGCTAGCCCCCCAAGTCTCTGAGAAACAAAATATTTCACTTAAAGCAATCTTTAAAGCACAGTAGGAAGCATTACTGTAGCACACACAGATGGAGGCTTTTGCAGAGATTTCTTTTTAGAGAACTTTCAGACACCTTCCAGGGTGTTGGAGGTATATTCAGAGAATTGGAACAGAAAAGTCACAAGTGCTAAGGAGAATTACATGTGTCTGTGGAGTAATTTATGGAGCGGAGCTAACAGAGCTGTGGTCCGGGTAAGATATAAAGGTGGGAGGACACCGTCCCTGTGCAGTTCCAAGGTCTAGTGGTTCTGGTGTAGATAATTACCCATGCTGTCCACTAGCACTAGGTAGCAGTGTTGATTAGGTTGACTGCAGTTTGGTTGCTGTCAGGATAACCCATGAGGGAGCTATTTGTGGGGTTTTGGACAAGGATTAACCATATACATTTTTTCTGTACTTTTCCTTTATTGAGGTCAATGGTCACTATTAAAAACTAACCACCCCTGCTGTCCATCAGCCCATCAAGGCTACATTGATTGCACTCTGTGCAAGTTCCTATTGCATGAATGCATGTTAGATGGAAATGATCCCTGTCCTCAAGGAATGTCCATGCTAGGAGAGGAGATGGACATGTACAAAATAATCATAGCACACATTATCAGAGGAGAGAGCACATGCGCTCAGAGGCCATCAAGACAAAGCAAGTTTCTCACTATTGACAGTAATGGATGACAGACATTTGGATGATGTAGCAAGTGAGTTGCCCAGGATTTGAACATGCAATGAGGAGATAACATTACAGGCAAAGAAAACAGTGAGAGCACAGACCTGGAGGTAGGAAACAGTGGGCTGTGCCTGCAGAGCAGCGGGCTGGCTAGGCTGTAGGCTGTTAGGTGGTGAGCTTCAGATGGGGGTGGGGCAGGAGATTGTGGATGTCTGGGTTTTTCCTCTGCTTTCCGTTTCCTGGTTTGAGTGCCATGCAAGACTACAGTTTTGGGATCTGCGGTGTATCTTCTGTTTCCTTCTTGCTCACCATCAAGTTTTCCAGGTTTGCCTGGTGCTCGTCTGAGGAATTCCATGTGGAGACCTCCTGTTCTGTGAAAAGATACCATATTCAGTCCCAGTGAACAATAGCAGGAAGAAAACTTTCAGCTCCCCTCCTACTCCGGGTCTTATGAAAACAAATGATCTTCCCCAGTCTCACTCTTAGCTTATCAGGTGCAGTTGGGAACTCTGGGAAAGAAAATGCTGGCGGCTGAGGGCTCTTTGTCCCAGGGAGAGAAGCACCCTTGGCCCTCTTTACCTATCACCTTGTGTCCAGGTCTGCTTGTACCATGGCCACAAGATTGACCATCACATGTGACCATGTTACCTCCCCCTTAGAAATATTTGATGGCTCCCCTTGGCCCTCAGTGGAGAGTCCGAGTTCTTTCTTAGAGTAGTTGAGGTGGCTTCTTCACAGAGCCTGGGAGACTCCTGTCTTGGTTCTGGGTTCCTGAATTGACTCCATTGCTGCATGAATCTCAGCTCTCTCAAGGAGTTGCCTGTATTTTAACAACTTACTTACTTCTCTCTTCATCCCTCCCTGGCCCTTGCTTTGCAAATGCCATGAGCATGGGCTCTGTGTCTTGCTTCCCACTATGTCCCCAGAGCCCAGCAGGCTCCCAGCACCTAGGGAGTGGTAAACAGTATTTGTGGAGTGAGTCAGTGAGTAAACGCTCAAGGACCTGGGAGGGTCTGCCATCGCTGGCTTCTGCTAGTGCCCGTGTGCTGGGGGTCCCATTTGTCTGTTGTCTGGGATTGTCTTATCTGCTGTCTGTTTGCCGAGGGAAGTGAGGCTGCAGTGCGTTGCTTTGTGAGAAACGCCTTTATGTTGTGGTGGACGTGCGGCTTCTCCTTGGCTCAGTCCCCTCTCCCATGCTCCATTGTGTAGGGTGAGCCCTAGAGCCCCTTGCTCGGGTGTCTGCCTGATGTCAACTGCTAGATGAAAACCTCTCTTGTTCCACTCAGCACAATGTCGCCATTATAGCCCCAACCAGAGGAATGGCACAAGTCTGCTGGTCCACCCTGGGCCAGGGAAAGCAGCAGATAGAGATCTGCAATGGCTGCTGCTGGGAGACAGAGCTTCATGGATGGATGTAAACTCCTCTTTCCCGAACAGGTTTCTGCTCTAGGGCGCAGGGCTTCTGCCTACACCCAGGAATGCCTCCCACTTTCAGCAGAGCCTCGCTGCCTGGCTGTGTCTGCAGGGAAACGAGCTTTTTATGCCTAATACTGCAAGAAGCCTGCCCCTTCCTTCAGGTCAGCCAGGGTTTGGATGTGGCTTGTCCTCTACTAAAAGTCTTGTTGAAATTTGGTCTCCAGTGTGGCAGTGTTGAGATGTGGTGGGGTCTTCATTAAGAGGGATTAACACCTTACTTATGGGTGGTGGGTGTGAATTCTTGCTCTTGAAGGATCCATTAGTTACCGCAGAGCATGTTATTATCCAAGTGAGTTTGGCTCCCTTTCTTCACCTTCCTCTCTTGGCCAATGTGGCCACGTCTGCACTTGCCTGCATGCCCTTCTGCCTTCCACAATGTGTTGATGTAGCATGAGGTCTTCACCAGGTGCAGGTGCCTGCCATGAACTTCCAACATCCAGAGCTGTGAGCTAAATAAACTTCTTTTGTGTACATTTCCCAGTCTCAGGGATTCTGTTACAGAAAAAAATAAGATTAAGACAGGATCCTTCCCCAGGAAAAGAGCATCCAGACTCCTTAGGTGAGGCTCACATGCTGGAGCACCATCAGGGCAGGCAGAGGAGGTGCAGTGCATGAAGCAGGCTGTGGGGAGGGTGGGGCTGTGGCAATGCAGACCCTTATGCTCTAGTTCAGCTCAGGCTTGCAGTGGCTGCATCTTCAGAGTTTTCAGGAGAATCCAGAAATCCCTAAGTTGCAGCTAACAACAGGTTGAAGAGGTATAAAGTGAACCTTCAGCTAGAAGAACTACAGAGCTGAAAGCAGCCTGAGCGATTAGCCAGTCTGGTCCCTTCTGTGTCAGACAGGGAAGCTGAGGCCAAGAGAGGGAGAGAAATCTCCCATGAAGTCACACAAAGCCTCAGAAGCACAAGTAGCCATGGGGTGCACCCCTCCCAAAGGTTACTTTTTTCAGTTTGTGGAATATATTGATGAAGAGCAAGACTTTGGGACTAGAGAGACCTGAACTTTATATCTTGCCCTGATTCCGTACAACCAAGGGCAGATCTTCAACCTGTCTCAGCCTCAAATTCCT